CTCTTTCTGTGTTAAGTGGTACAGACTGCCTGAAGGACTGCTTCAGCTAAAGAAACCCTTGATTCTCAGCTTAAAAGAAAAAAACAGTTTCCTCCAATGGGTTTGTGAAAAGCTGCCCTTGCAACTTAGCTTGCCACTTCAGATGCCATCTCCAGTAGGCCATGGCATTTGTAGTATCAAAAGCCAGATGTTATGGGCTAAGCACTCTATAACCATTAGCCTCTCCTCTGTTTATTTGTAGTTACACACACTCATCTTCCTACAGAATCAGGGTAAGTCTGAACACCTTGGATCAAGGCTTTCAGCTACAGCTCAGGGCATTCCAGCAATACTTGGGTGTTAACAGCCCTATGAAGAAAATGCACCTTATTTAAGGTGGGGTCAATACTGTGACAACAAAAGCAAAAAGTATACTCAGGGAATTCATGTAAACCCTTCTGAAAGAATACTTCAGCCAGGCAAGACAGGAGCCATTCAATTAGCCATCTGAAGATGGAAAAAGAAATCTGAAAGTAAGTGGTTCAATTCTCAGTCTGAGAAGTATACGATGAGTCAGAGTAAGATTTAAAAAGACTACCAGGTTCACACTGCAGGTTTACAACAGACTATTAGATCTCTAAAGGAGTGCATACTATAGCCTTCTAACAGTTGTTTCAAGTGGAAAATCCTGAGAAGGAATTTATCTGTTAGCACTCTACAGGGAGACTGCCTACATGTACTGTACCATGGGTGCGTGGTGAACAGCTCTTAACAGCCAAACTAGAGCCCTTGGTTTCAGTTTTCAGCACAGTTAGCTCAGTAATTCTTCTCTCATGCAATAGCATTGGCTACCAACACTCCTTAACTTCAGGAGAATAAAACTTGCATTGAAATAGCTTTCATTACTTCTGCATAAGTAGTAAGACACCACGTTCTTAGAGGGATTAAGTCCCAGAACATCACCTTTAAGCAGCTCCTTGGTATGCAGAACTTAAGAAGACTTCACAACAGACACATCCTGCCTAGGGTATGGGGATGAGAGGAAGCAGTGTCTGTCATCTGGACACATGGTTCTAAAAGGGGGTTTTGTAACCCAGTCCTGTATACACAAGTGACAGAAGCTGCTAATGCTGCCTTTTCTGCAGGGCCAGATGCTGTCCCAGTAGTGAAGAACTGAGCCATGACTTTTTAACAGTTCAAAGACAAGATTCTAGGCAGCCACAGGATGTCTCTATCAGAGTATAGCCTGCCACTGACAAAGAAGCAACTCCTCAGTACTTTGTGTGCACCCTAGCACTACTGGCCTTAGCTTGACTGAACAGCAGAGCAGATAGACAACTACCCATGCCGTACCCTGCCACTAAACATACCTAGTTTTGTTCTGATTATGAAAACTTTCCTACTTATTGTAATACTCACCCACTTTTCCCACCACCACCCTTCTCACTGTCAGAAAGAATGAACTTGCTGATATATCATTCTATGCAAACACAGTGACAGTGTCTTCTGCCACAGGGCTCTCTTTACCTTCATTGATTCAGAGTACAACATATACTCCCTAAGCACAGGCAGGAAGTCTTCTGTCATGTCTTCACTCAGTTCTTCAAGAGCTGTGCAACAGTTCCCAATACAGGCAGACACCCCCTCCAGTGGCTCTGATAGCTCAACCTCCAGTCCTCCCCAAGTTGAATAAACAGGTCCATATTCTCGTAGTTCCACCAAGTATTCTACAAGAGGTGGGCAGAACAGTAGATTAGCAGAGTAAGAGCAAGGCACAAGGATCTGCAAACACACACGCCAAACAGAAGAAACTATGCACCAAGCTTGGCAAACATTAACTCTCCCAGGAGTGAAACCTTGTGTTGCATTAGCATCTTAGTAGACAGAGCTCTGTGGTCTCAGAGGTAACAGGTCCAAGCAGCCCCCTGCTTAACTCACCATTCTTACAAGCTTCCAATAAAAAGACACTTGCACCACTGCAGTAGTCAGTCATTTTTTAAAAACATATGTAAAGATTGTCTCTTCTAAGACAGGTCTGTAAAGGTTCTTTGTCTAGGAATTCCATCTGTACTCCAGATGGAATCTACAGGTTCTTCCTCCTCCTAAAATCTTTCCAAAAATAACTGTTATAAAAGCACATTAGTTTAACAAGAGCAACTTTAAAAAGTATTTGGAGACTTGAGCTAAGATACAGTGCTAGGCTTTAGGCCTGTTTTAAATCTGCAAGAGGCACTGGATTTTGTTCTGTGTGGCTCATTAGAGGCCAGAATCACTGAAGCAAGTTGTATTGTCACGCTATCAAACAGAACACTCAGACTGAAGTATTATGATAGAGAACCTTGTGTCCTTACCCAGCTGTTCCTTGATTATCCTTTGTGCTATTCTGTCAATGGTACCAAGCTTTAGAGAGAACGTGTCTAGATACTCCCCAATGGCTGCAAACTCCAGTGGACGACTTCTCAATTTGTAGCCTCCTGTGACATATTTGACAGACTCCCCCATCTTTGACAGCAATGCCATTCCTTGCTTTTTGTAGGCATTAAGATCCTAGGAAGTTAAAAAAACAAGTTTAGAAATATTTCACTTACATGTTGCAAGATCAATACAGTGAAGGATACTTTCCAGTCAAGATCAAATCTTGTGAAAGCAAGAGACTGCATGCGACATGTAGCCTTGGACAAAACCTCACTTAGTACAAGTTGTACAGCTAAGCAGTCTCAAGACTGCCTCTAGACAGAGATAAGCTATCCAGTGGAATGGTATGAAGTATATTGTAAACAAGTAAGTGGTCCATCTTTGCACATGGTCAGACTTTGCCATGTTCCTGTACTGTCACTAGTGAAGTAAGTGGTATTAACAGCTCTGTTCCCACCAATATCATTCATGCCATTCATCCACACATACTTTTAAGCCACAGCCCACAGTACCAGTGTTATGCAAATATATCAGTTGGCTCTGGTGACCAAGTACAGACCTACATACTGCATGCTTATTTGGTCAGCAGCCTCTCCAGAGCAGCTGTGTGGTTAGATAGGAGTCAGGGGAAGACTGCACACAGAAAAGAGCAGCATGCAGATACCAGCACAGCTTCTCTGCAAGGTATGTGACCTCAGGCTGGGCCACGTACAGCTATGTTGCCTGCACAGAAAGCTTACTCTTCCTTGCCAAAGCTTTACCTGTTTTCATAAAACACCACTCAGACAACCTATGCTAACAAGGTTGTTTACCTACAAACCCTTCAGGGGATTTCACCTCAACAGCACATCAGTAAAAACAGGGTTTAGTTAGCCAAAATGCCATGCATTTTGCATTTTACTCCTTCCAGCAGTGGTCACTATGAAAACCCTCAGAACAGGCTTGGGAGCTCTAACTAGGTTCCCCTATTCAGCCTCAGGAAGAGACCTAGCAGACCTGTAGAGGTCAAGAACAAAGACAGTATTACAGACTAGACTAAAAGCTTACGTGTCTGTACAACAGCCATTTTCAGAACATGTGCTATGGTATACTTTCCAAGTCAAATGTAAGTATGATCAAGAGAACCTGATATCTTAGCAGCTACTATAATTTTGAATTATGTTTGCATTTAAATGCAGTGGTTCTTTGACTCCTGCCTTCCGCCTGCCCTAAGCACTACCTGTAAGCTGGCAACAGAGAAAGATTCTTTAACTCAAAATAATTCACTCACGTCTCAAGCATTCTGCCATGTTACTAATGCAAACAGAGAACCTGAAGAAAGCTTTGTTTCTCTTTTACAGTCAGGAGGTGGTCTCATGACTTTCTGCAGTAATTAAATTATGAAGTCCTAGTACACTGAACTGACTTCACTGCTGCAATACAGCACGTTTCAACACTAGAAACAGACAGACAGAAGAACATGTGTCCTTTTCCCTGAGCCTCCCTGGATGCTCTGTATTCAAGACAAGCCCTGCCCAGGGCTAAGCATAAAGCCTCTACCATTCATTTTACAGGAGTGGGAGAAGATGACTAAGCAGCTAAGAAGGTTTCATCATCTCTGACAGTTGAAAAGCAGAACAAAGTAAGAACATGGACAGAAGATAGAAGTGAACTAGAGATTGAGTTTCACATTACTAGCAAGCAGAGCATGAGCCTGAAGTGAGCTCAAATTAAGTGTCACATCTGAGTGAGCTAGTATAACGTAACATCATTTATGAGGTCAAACCCAAGCATGACTGGAGGTCCTTCTAGTCTTATTTAAAATGCAGTTCAAAAGACAAGAGAAAATTGCACCATTGCTGGATGAGTCATACTGAAGAGAAGCGTGAAGTTGATTGAGTACAAACAAAAATGAAGAATTCGTGCTTAGTTTTGAGGGTAACAAGTACAAGGAGTGTAGAAGACACAGACAAGGGCAATAAAAAAAAAAGAGTCAGATTTGCAAGGTTTCGTGGAAGGGAGATCTTTCCTCCTCCCCACTTCCCTCCTCCCCAAAAGACAATTTCACAAAGTCTACAATTTTCTAAATGCTGAACCTCTTGTGTATCAGGAGTATGTTCTAGACACAGGGATACAAAACAAGCAGGTCTAGAGAACTGAATTCACAAATCTGCAAAACACCCTACCCTTCTAGCAAAGGGAACTCATATTGTTGTAACACAGGGGGTCTGTCTCACACAACATTCAGAGTCCCCAACAACTCTCTAGTATTTTAGGGTACATTCTGACCTGCACAAGCAATTTTTTTTCATGCCTTTTTACCTTTGTGTCAAAAGAGACTGCAAAGTGCCTGTTCTGTTGTCCCTGTCAATGACTCGGAAGTGACTGGCTTACCTTGGCTGTGAGAAACACGTTGAAGTGCTCGTTAAACGAAAGCACTGGGTGATCAGTTATTCTCTTCAGAAATTTGTCTAATGCTTTCCTCCTCGTCTCCACAAATTCTTCAGAAAAGCGATCGACAACACCCTTCACCACAAATTTCTCAGGAAGAGGCTGTCAGAGACAAGGAAAATGCACACAATTCAAAAGACAAAACCTTGCTGCTGCTATTTGGAAACACACAAAGCAATCAAATTCCAGTCTTAACAGGAACTGAAACAGTGATGCAAGCCCTGCTCTGAGTTACCCTTCATCTGGTCTGGCCCAGTGCTAGCAATGCTACCGAGTGGCTTCAGCTGAGAGTCCCATGAGAAAAGCCCAGACAGCAGTCAGTACACTAAGTACTTCTAGTACAGCTTGGGGTGTTCCCCCCTACTGCTATCCATCTTCAAGCTCCACCTCTAAAGGAGATGCAAGTGGGGCTGCACAATATTTACTACAGCAATAAACACACATTCAGAAAATGGAACGGTTCTATTTGCTGTCCCCTACACACACTCTGAACTACGCAGAGCTCCTGGACAGGACCCTTCTGTAGAGGGCTGAGCAGCAGACTTGACAACAAATGGTCAACCAGTCAAGACTGGAGCCTTATGCACTTGCACACTAGCTCATCTATCATAGCAAATATTCCCAAGCACATTTGTGTAATTTACAATGTCTGCCAACATATCTGCTCCTTCATCTTACTCTATGTTGATGCTCCTGGTTTCTCTGCAGTTTAGCTTAACAGGTAAGCCCAGGTCTGCCTCTAGACCTTCTAGTTCTGCAGTCCCTACTGTTAGACTCCAAAGTACTGCTTCAGGTGAAAGATAATTCATTAAGCTCCAGCATGGTTATTTCAGCTCTACCACTGGATCTGCAGTTCTCCCCAGACAGCACGGACTCTACAATTAATATCAGTTTTAAAACTGTTCTTTGCATTTTTTTTTTCTTATGGAACAGTCTGCCCAGACAGACAATTTGCCTTCTCTTCAGCTAGCAATGACAGACATTTTCACCCACTTCAGGAATCAGGATTCTCCTCTGCAAAGGGTCTTTGTTGCCTGAAATCCATGACAGAAGTAATAAAAAATGGAAAAGATTATGTATGTAGATGCCTTCCCTACTATACCCTAGCTGATGGGGTATGGACACGAAGACTGTACCTCCTAAAAAAAACACAGCTGGCATGACTTAGCTGCAATCCAGCTACATTTTGACCACTATATTTAGTTTTCATTATTTAAGACTTTTCTTATTATGCTTAGCATTCAGATGAGTCTTCCAGTTAAACCAGTGTAAGGTACACTCTAATTAAACTTCAGAAGAACAATGCTTAGTGCAGTAGTCTTCAGCAAGGACCTTTAGTTGAGAACCCATACATTAGGAAGTCACTAACTCAGCAACATATGCAGGAGGAGGACGACCTGGCAGACTAAAGAACCCTAGTTCAGTCAAATGTGCGCACTGGCACTAAACAAGCACTAAAATTTGCGCATTTGAGACCCAGGGAAGGGCACACTTCTACTTCAAAGACTTCTGCCATTTAACCTGGTTTTAACTATACAAGTAGGTACAGTCCTTTACATTTTAGGCCCTTGGAGGTCCATTCCCAGCAGATTGCAACTACTAACCCTGCTTTAACTATGTGTTACTTACTATCTTACAGTTTCCAGTTTAGTAGTCTACTCTGCTCTGGTGTGGCATGTGAGTAGAGTTCACTGCACTCAGAACTGGCTTCAAGTATCTGAACATCACCATCTGAAGACAAGACCCTTGGCCATGTTAGCCTTCTCTTTCTAGTCTAAAGACAGATCTGAAAAGCATTTTTACTGTTGTTTGAAAGAATAGATTGGAGCAAGTCTCAGATCATTTAAAAAAAAAAAAGTAAAAATCAGTAACTGAAGAGATGAAAAGCAACCCATATCCAGTCTAGTCTGGGCTCTTAAGTGTAGGCCATCATGACTCACTGCACTGAGAAGACATGTTGTTTGTTACAGGAAGATTTTACACAGAGTCAGTATACTGAGATGAAGAAGACAAACCCCTTTCAGTATCTTGTTAGACATAAGGCCTCCAGGAATTGCAGAGTCTCCAGTTACAAAGACAGATACTGTCAGATTGGCTTCAAACATCTTCTTGGAATACACTTGGGTCACAGTGCACCTGGAACTGCCTTTATCTCTTATTCCCCATCTCCTTCTAGGCAATAAATACATAAAGCATTCAGTATTCTTCCTCCCATACCACTGCATGGAAGAGATTAATAGCAAATTCCGTCACTAGTAACTTGGGCATAGACTAGTAGAAGGTGGCAGCGCACCCTTATGCTCACAGATTTTGTAGAAGAGGAGCACTTGGGAGACTGCCTTGCTCTGCAGCCAGTTTCATGTCCAGCATTAGAGCCACTTGTGCCAAATATGCCATTCTATGTGCAACGAATTCCTCGTAACAGCAAAACAGCTCAATTTCCCTGGCTGTGACTTGCCTTCTGCTACTGGACTATTATTTATTGTCTTGCAGCCTTCTGGCAGGACTGGCAGCCTGTTAGCATATTCCATCTGTAGAAGCTTAACCTCAATAGTTCCAGCTGCTCAGAGACCAGGAACAGAAAAAATGAGGGTCTGGGCACCTAACATTAATCTCACATCTCCACCTTACCCCAACAAGCTCTCTCTTTTTCCCCTCCCTACCCATCAGTAAACATTTGCTGCCAGTTAGAGGTGTCACATGATTTTGTGAAGTATTTCTTATCTCTGAGAGACTGAGCTATTATTCTACTTAAGATGCAATTCCTCAAGTAATTAAAGACTTAAATAGCTCTCTACCATGAAAGAGCCTAACTAAATGCTTCTCACATAGCCTAGTCCTTGCTGATGGAGGGAGAGCAGAGAAACTTCCTTCTCACCCCAGATGGGCAAACTAAGGTATGCCTGCAGTGTTGCTCTTTCCTGACTATTCACCTCCTAAAGGCCTTTTTTTAATTTATCTGTTCAAAAGAGCTGATGGCAGTGGGCTCACAGGTTTCCTACCTTTTCACACCTTCTACAGCATGAAAACCAAAAGATCTTAATGCTGAAGATCAGCATCAACATCCTCATGTCACACGAGGTAGTCAGAGCTAGCTTCAGCAACAAGAAGGGGTGCAGTAGTTTAGTTCATCTCATTAGCTAAGCTTCTGCCTACTGAAGGCATGCAAAGGCTACCAAGCCAGGGGCTAAGATTTATAAGTCTGTGTTAGCAGACTTATAAGTGTTAGCAGAAAGTTTTAAAATACTCTTTAAAACCAGCTCAAAAAGCCCTCTTGAAAAGTGATTGAGACTAGGACTTGAAGTATCTGTGTGTCCTTTCATAAGATGATATTCAGAAATCTAGATGTAATGACTGAGAAAAGAGATCAAGTGTATTCCGTTTATGCCACAAGTGCAATCACTGCACTAGCCTACAGGAGGCTGACAAAGATTACTTCTCAGGTGTGTCACCCAAGAAAAATTTAAGCTTCATAATCAAGAATGGGAAGCTCTTCCCACGCTACTAGAAGAAAACCAAATACTATATATAAATCTAAATACCAGAAGACAGTGACGCACTGTATTTAAATCTAAAGAGACATATCACCAAAATATTACCCTCGTAAAAGAGATACAGAACCATGCTTAATAGCAGATTCTTGCTTACTACCTACGGGAATGAGATGCGTTGGCTGAGACTCTTCCAGCTTGTTTCTCAACCAGTCGAAGTCTTGGTACCGTCGGCGGACAGAGTACTCTGGCAAATCAAATTCAGCTCGTGTGGTCTGGAAAAGAAGCACAGGGTACACTTAGTGTGCACCAAAACCTCCCACTTCAGAGCTGAGCAGCAAAGTGCGGCCATTACTGGCAAGGGTGAGGCCATACAAGCCTTGCACAAGCACTCCATCCACAACACTGTGATTGCAGCCAGCATGAGAGAAAGATCCTCTGGCCTTTCAAGCAATGGGAAAGCCATCAATAAGAAAATGATTACTTGGAGCTGATGTGTTCTTACAATCTATTTATACTTCATCACACACTTTGCTCAGACAAGCTTTATGGGAGGAGTCTGTGGAATGAAGATTACTGTATACCACATTAATCTCTTGGCATTTACAAGTTTGGGGGGAAAACTGTATGAAACCTTTGTTCCAAGGACAGACTGTTTTAGCTACCAAGAATTAAAAGCAAAGGTATTCAATGACTTGTTTATTTTATGACATGCATTAACGGTGAGTAGAAAAAGAGATTCCACCGCTGTCCCATATTCCAGAAGTGACAGGCTTATTACAGTCCCTCAAAGTTAAAAGATTAGAACTTAAGCCACTGCTAGGCTTGCTGAAGGATTGTTTTTCTTTATTTCTGAGAGGAAGAAACAAGTTTCTTTACATTAAGTTGATGTATGCCTGATCAGAGATGTCTGTACCTTAAGTTAAATCTTTAAGGTTTTCATTCTAAAGGGCATGGAATTACACTTGCCATTACAAGTTTGAGGCAGAGTAACTATGCAGAGAAACTGCTGGGAAATGATTTATCCAGTCCTGGAACAGTCCCTAGCTTGGAAAGCCAACTGTGGGGCTGCTTGCACAGCACATACTGCACCTGCCTAAAAGCACTAAAGAAACTATGTACCAACTAGGAGTCTCCGCTGAAAAGCCTGGTATTGCAATAGCCCTTACTGGAAGGTAGACGGCCTTTATCATTACAGCTGACTGTGAAGAACAGCTCACAAAAGCCAAGAGAGCTATGATTAGTTACTTGAAGCATCAAGGCCATCTTGCAATGAAGGTGATGCTCCAGCTCCAGCACCAGCACACTACATGTCTACAGCCAGACATCAAAACCACCTCCTCCTGGGAAACGCACCACCTCTTCTTGCTTTGGACTGACACAGACTCAGTACTAGGTTGCTTTGCTCCTCATTGCTGGAACTTAGCAGGTGGTTGTAGTGACTAAGATTTTGTATTTACTTCCAGGCTCAGAGCAACTGCCACGTATGTGAACAGAACCAAGTAGCAGCATTTAAATGCAATCCACCTCTTCACCTGCTCTCTTGGATGGCTTCAACTCCTCAGTTACTGCATGTTACTCCCATCAATCCCCACTGGGGATCCTGTACAAATTCTATGCCAGAAATCTCTTTCTAGGGGAAAGCCAGCAGTCTTAACACACTGTCAACAGAACAGCAGCTCTGGTATACTATAAACAGCATGCTAACGTGATATTATGAATGTGATCAACCTGTTAGCAGCTGAAGAGAGGACCTAGGAGTCCTGGTGGACAAGAAGTTAACTATGGGCCAGCAGTGTGCTCTTGTAGCCAAGAAAGCCAAAGATATCCTGGGGTGTATTAAGAAAAGTGTGGCCAACAGGTCAAGGGAGGTCCTCCTCCCTCACTACTCTGCCCAAGTGAGGCCACATCTGGAGTACTGTGTCAAGTTCTGGGCTTGCCCGTTTAAGGGAGACAGGGAACTATTGTAAAGGGTCCAACAGGGGTTACAAAAATTATTAGGGTCCGCAGCATCTCTCTCACAAGCAAAGCCCAGAGACCTGGGTCTGTTTAGCCTGGAAAAGAGAAGACAGAAGGCATCTTATCAATGCTGATCAATATCTAAACACCAGGGGGCAAGAGAATGGACCAGACTAATTTCAGTGGTGCCCAGTGATAGGACAAGGGGGAACAGGCACAAACCAGAACACAAAGTTCCGCCTCAACATCAGGAAAAACTTATTTGCTGTGAAGGTGACAGAGCCCTAGAACAGCTGCCCACAGAGGTTGTGGTGTCTCCTTCACTGGAGACTTTCAAAACACTCCAGGACATATTCCTGTGCTACCCCGCTCCCAGGTGAACAGCTTTAGTAGGGGGACTGGACTAGATGACCCTCTGAGGTCCCGTCCAACCCCTACCATTATGTGATTACCTATGAAACTGCGTGGTTTCTAGAAAAGGCAGGCATAGAGAGACAAAAGAAGAAACCAAGCTCACCTCCTCCCTCCTTTGATCTGCTAGCTAAGGTAAGAGATTTGTTAGTCCATGGACTAACAAAGAACATTCACCAATGGAGCAGCTGTGTTTGTAGGTATGGGACTACCAAGACCTAGATTTACACTGCAGATTTGTGCTTCACTCGGCCACATTTCGGATTAATAACCAGTTTATTTAATGTGTTAGAGTGCCACACTATAAATGAAATTTCTGAGACTTGATATGAATCATTTTCACTTGTTTTGAGTAAGAGACTTAAGAGCATTACACTCAAACAAGATAATTCACAGGCACATAGGCAGTGGTGCTGACTGCTTTGTTCTGTCAATAAAGCAGCTATACCTCAGCCTTGTAAGAGATAACCTGAAATTAAAGAAAAAGTAATGATTTAGTAGGTTTAGTAGTAGGGAGAATTTTATTTGAACTGTCTGTCACTAGGCAAAGGCCTCTTAAAAGGGATCACACAGGGAGTCAATGAAAGCTATCAGGATGTAGACATACCACAGTGATTTCTTCTGTAGCATGAGGATGAAGGTAAAGTCTCCCTAGCACTGAGAACATTATCAGCCAGTATTCTGCCAACAGTTAAGGAAAACTGTATAGGTCCTATTCAGAAGTAGGAAAGCAGGATAAATCCTACTGCACAAATTTTAAATTAGTTATTGTTTATCTCTAGCAAACTGCTCCTGCTGCCCTTACATCACAAGAAGATTTGCAAAGTTTTCCATGTATCAGAGTTTGTTCCTCAGAGGGAGGCAGATGAAAATACATCAGTCATCAGCATTTCATTGTTTGCTGTACAGCCTCTAAAATCTAGACATCAAATAAGCTTTTCAGAGACTATCTGGACAGAACAAGGGCCCTTCAAGGTTTTAACACCTCACTAATGCTGCAAGAATTTGGATCTCAGATCAACTCTTGATTAGTGCAGCACAGTTATTTTTTCCAGACTGCACACAAGAGGGAAGAGAGTCTTGCCACTATCCAGAGATGGAAAGTGAAATGTCTGGTTTTGACAAAGTTAACTCTTCCTGCTTTCTTAGTAGGATCCAGAAATCTCACCTTGCAAGGACATGTGTCTCTCTTAAAGGAAGCTGAGAAAGTTAAGTGGCAGATCTCAACCTCCCAGAAATAACGGGCCAGAAATTTCCAGGAATTTACTGAAGACTCCAGCACAGTTCCACTAAGTCAGCACTGCTGTACTCTGGACCCAGTTCTACTTTCTGGAAAGCAGGCAGGGTTATAGACACTTTTACCTCTGTTATTACTTCAGGTCTAAACTATTCCAACATTAAGGCAATCACCAGGTCTTGGTCTTGTGTAAGATTCTTATCTTTCTTGAAAGGAGTTAGCAGCCAAACCTAAAACTAGCCTGTGGTGACTATGTCAAGCTATTTTATACCCGAAGTTCTAGTCCCTTACTGACTACATTGTGGATTCCTCTTCAAGTTACTGTTTAAGTTGGGGAAAAATCTTCAATGAGAAAAAGAGAATGACAGAGGTAGGAAGGGAACACAGTTGGTGTTCTTAGCAGCTCATAGTTCTGTTTGCCTGAAATAGTTTAGCCTGTTTGAAAAAGAGATCATAGCACATATACCTGCTCCTCTACACAGATCAAACCATTTCATATGCTCAGGTAATGTACCAAATGTATGCACTGGAAGGAGGAGAAGGACATAAAAAAGAATGCAAGACGTCCACTTCATTATATACTGGATTGAAATCCTCTCCCCCTTCAAGCCTGCAGACCAACTGCATGACTGAGGAGCAGCATACAGCTGTTCACATCTCCAAGGTAAAAGCCACAGAAGGCAGCCTTGCCATCCTAGGAACTACACCAAAAGTGAAGTTAAAAGTACACTTACCTACATTTCAGTTGGAGAGATGATTACATAAAGATAAGCTTTATTTTCCCTGTGCCTTCTCAGAAAGATCTGCTTGATAAAATCTCTCCAGAGTGCACATTAGTCTGTCTGAAGAGCACAAAGGTGTATCATCAAGAACACTCAAGACACTTCAGGCGTTGCAGCCAGGAGCAATTAAGCTCCATCAAAATCTTTGACCACCTCCTTGGTTTCACTAGCCTCCTTGCATGAGAAAACTGTTGTTACCAAGAAAAAAAATGGTATGAAAGATCTGAGGGTGTCAGGTCTGAATGACTGTCCCCATTATTTTGGGGATTCACATGACATTCATTAAATGTTTTCATCCAGAACACAGGCTGGGGAATGCTACTTGGCTCTTAGTAAGAAGCTGAGAAAGCAAGGGCATGAGCAGGACAAAATAAATTCCAGTCTCTCCTCTCAGCTTGCCTGCAAGGCATTGTTCTGGACCCTTCCTCAGCCACCAACACAGGCTGACAAAGCAAATGAGAAGCCTGGGGTGCACTGCAAGACTTTTTGCTGTTGCAGTGAAGGACCCTTTCTAGAAAAGGAAAAAAAGAAACCAACAAAACACACTAACAAAACCAAGACTATGGTCAGGTCACACCTCCCCACAGTAGCATCCAGTCACAGCCACAAGAGCACAATGCAACACTAACAATCACATCCCCTCTTCCACCTAGTGATTCTGCTTTACATAGCAAAGTAGGCTTCAGAATAACTAGTTTTAGGATATATGTTTATCCAAACCTTTGAGGTTCCAGTACCACTCTTTAGTGGAGAAAGGAAAACAAGCAGCCATTCCTGCAAGGGAGATGGTAGGAAGATATGGCCTTAGACTGATGACAGGAGCCAGGTCTGGAATAGAACTTTGACCTACAACCTGGAAGTGCAAGCATCAACACATCCTCACTACTATCTAGGGATTACTCCTGTTACGGTTAATTACTGCTTTTGGCTACAACGGCTGATTGGGCAATTAGCCTTGGCATCAAAGAGGCCTTGTTTGTAGGACAAGTGTTAACTCAGACCATTAATAGTTAGTCTTCCAAACTAAACTTTAAAAAGTCTTTTTTCAAACAATGGTAAATAGCACTAGAGGTACTGACCTTAGAGGTTAGCCAGAAGTTTACAAGGACAATAACCCTGAAGAGGTAAGGCTTTCATGGCGATTAGCAAGAATTAATTACGCACCATTTCACAATGGTATGGTTGTACTATGATACAGCAGATTTATGTGCTACAGTGTGATCCCACATAAACCAGTATTAACAGACATGCATGCAGGTACAAAAATCAAAAGCAAAGAATAAAGTTTTTAATTTAAAAAAAAAAAAAAGGCATTGTTGGGTAATACAGCTGATCTAAATACGGTAAATACCCACATTCCAGAGTTCCCCTTCAAAGGAGGAAGGAAATCTTTGTGTAAACATAGGTTTCCAAGCAGAGGAATGCTATTAAGGTGCTACTGTATAGAGATATTTTATCTTGACAAAATAATCGGGTCTTAATTTAAGGGAGAAATAACTTCAACCAGTTTTAACCATTTGCCTGTGGGAAGTTGCATCTCATTTTGTTTCCTGCTCCTTCTGATTCTGTAACATTGCTCCAACTGAAGTTTCTCACAGTATTTCTTAGCATTTTCTAATAGTTAACATACAGCATTTCTTGCAAGATTAAGACACTTAGATCAACAAAGACTGACAGGCCTACATTAAGCGTACAGTTACTATTTCAGAAAAGCAACATTTTCTTCTGTGCAGCCTGGAAGTGGAACTTTGGGAGTAGTCATTCTGAAAAAGATTCTGTGGCCTGTAAAGGCTTCCTTATCTCAAAGAAAATATTCTCTCCAGTATATAGTGCCATTTAAGTAGGCCAGAGGAATGTTAATCTTTTTGGACAAGTAGATCAAGTACGTTCCTAGTGAAGTTAGTGAACAGTTTTTGCCTTGGGTAACCACAAGTGCCCAAATCAGATGTCAACATCAACTAGGAGCTGATGATAATGAGAACGAGCTACTTAACAGAAATAAAATGTCCTAGTTGCAAGTGCAGTGGGCTCTTCAGATCACTCTTCCTGTTGGTGTAATCAGACTACATTAATGTTTGCAGTACAACACACTGAAAGCATCTCTAGCATGTTTTTTTCCTGGTAGGCAGAAGAATTCTTAGGTTAGTCTTAGCAGCAGATACACAGATCTTTGTACCTACAGCTGCATGGAAGCTAGTTTACAGCTAAAGATCAAGTTATGACTTAGGTAAGTGGCTGACAGAGGAAATGTGGTAAACACCAAAAGCAACAAGCTTAAAGCATTTCAGAAAAACAAACTGTGTTTAGACACAAAGGGTGAGATGATCAACAGCAAAGCAGCAAGGCACATTCCCCTTCAGGGGAGGTAACTCAAACCAAATGGGTGTCAGGTTACAGTATATGAATAAAGTTTCAAGTTAATGAAAGAAACTAGTTTTGCAAGCTTACAAACAGTTCTGTTTAAGAGTCAGAGACAAAAACCTACAACAACACATTAAATGCTTTGCATAGTTTCATATACTGAAGTAGTAATGGTTCTGCCAAGAGAACTCACACCTTCAACACATTCTCAAGGTACTGGAAGTACTTGTCCTCAAGATAAAGAAATACAATGCAAGGCACAGACATCCAGAACGTGCCCTAAAAAAATAAAAAAACCCTCCAAAGAAAAAAGTGCTAGGAAATCAGAATGTTGTTTTATACCTTTGTTGTAACCCTGTATGTGATATATGTCTCCATTGTGCACACGTGTTTTTTGGGATCATCAACAGTAACAAAGAGGTCTCTAGTTTCCCCATCAAAGTCATCATCCAGCTGCAGTCTGTTGAGGAGAGATGAGGAGGAAGCTGGGCTAGAAGTGTCCACAGGTGTGCCATTAGGTAGACTGAGGTCCTGTATTGGAGAGAAAAAACAGCAAGTTTTTAATAAGTGAACAGATCAATTGTAAAACATAGTGTTATCAAAAATGCCAGTGACAAGCTTCACTGACACATTACAAGGGCCATTTCAGCAGCTCCAAGGATCACCCTCTTCCAGGACACCTGGGCAATCCCTTAAGGTCTAGGCTTTCAGAATTAGGTTGTTCTACTTTTCCAAAATTTTAAGAGAAAGCACATTACCACCATACATCCCCTTAGTATGGTGCAGCCTGGTTTCTCTTTATGAGGAAGTGGAAGTATTGCTGAACCAACAGTTTCTGGTGATACCAAATCAAATAAACCAACTCAGATACTGAAAATAAAACAGCTGGGCAAATCAACCGTTTGTGGCAACAGTTCAGTTGACTGGAATGGAGACAGCCTTCACCTCTGGAGACTCCTATAGCAGAGGAAGGAGGGCAAATTTGTACCAGAGGCTTCCTATCTAGTTCATTAACTGCCAAACATGTAGAGAGCAGTCAAAAGTCTGAACTGCCACCAGTGCACTAACAAGACCATCACAGATCATACACTCCAGCACCAGCATCTATGCACACCTCCCTTTTGTAGTCCTAAGGCAAATTAAAACACTGTTTTGCTTGCAGAGGTCATCATTCTCGTCCTCCTAACCCCAAGAATATTATCCAGGGCCCAGGGAAGAAAGAGGCTGAAAGAACCAGCAAGTGACTATTTTAGGAAGAGATGCACAAGGTTTGGGAAGCCTGTAATTCCTTGAATCTGACTCAGCAACAGAGGAAGAAAAACACAACTTCATAGCAAACTTGGCACATTCCCACACCTTCAAGTCTCATGCTTTGACACAGACCAACTACTCCATAAAGCTTATTCCATTAAGCGGTTACTTCACTTTGCATCAATATCACAGAAAATTCACAGGTGTTCTCTGCTCTGGTTTTGTACCAGAGGGAGCTGACAGTCTGTGACAAACTGTACAATACGTAGGAGCATCTGACAAGAATATTAGAAAGTCCCAAAGTTCCATGGCTCTTCAGAGAAGAGAGGAGGTTTTTTGTTTGCTTTAACTAGTAGCATAAGAATAGATTTATCCACAGTGTTTCCCTGGTACGGACAAAAGTTCCTCTGGTTGCTAGAGAGAAACATTACTACAGCTAAGCAGCACATTAACTTCAAGTGTTTTAGTTTTAGAAGTACTGCTTAGCCCCAGCTTCACACAGTATTTAAGGGGCTAAATGAAATGCGTAATCTTAGCAAAGCAATCCTGTTTGTAAGATCCCCTTTGACCACAAGTACTCCTTATGCAAATGTGGTGTATGTTCCAGCTGGATAGTCTGTGTCTTCAAAAGAAGTCCTCCTTTTTTCAAGGGTTCTGAATTACAGGTGAGAGCTCCAAGTTGAAGCTACTTCTGAAGGTCTGTCTTTAACAATGACTATGAACAGGACCGAGTTCCAACCAGTCTTTGTCACAAACCCATCAAGGGAGTACTCAGATTTTATAGACAGCCCTCTGCCTGTTGCAGTCCTGCAGAACTGTGGTAAATTGCTCTTCACCTTGAAGACTACCTTAAGAAGTAGGGAGAATAATGACTTAGCCTAGACATTTTGGAGAAGGAGTGATCTAAACCATTGCCTGTTAACAGAGAGGTTAGATGCACTCTGCCAGCTAATGCTCAGAAGTGGTTGCCAACAGACTAGAGATTTCAGATTTAACTGGCAAATGAGCAGGAATTTGAAGGTAGGCATTCAAATGCTCTCTTAAATGTGTAAAAGAGTAGGATAGGCACAGCATAGCCTCCCAACTCACGCATGAGGAATACAGCTTGAGCTTCACAAGCATCTGGCTCAGACTCCCCATCACAGCAGCAAGTAGAATAGAAGAAGCAGTGCCACAATAACTCAGCAGACAAGGCATTCTGTTTGGAGTTACACAAACAGAATAAAAGAGAACACAAGATAAGATTAGCTTCAGAAAACCTGCAGTTCAACTAGACAGGAGAATTTGGCTGAGCAGATTAAAGAACAAAGCGAACCCTGGGACACCACAGGCAAACTGCAGGCAAATCTGTTCCTGTTTCCAAAAGGAAAAGACAGTTCTTCATTGGCCACATGCAATAAGCATTAGTATTAAGACAAGTTGTGCCAGAACCACAGCCAGCCAAATTCTAAGCTTTCAGTATGGAAATGAACTAACTTGCAGAAACAACTTGAACTTTGTTGCACAGGAGATCTCAAATGCTTGTAACAAGACCCTTCAAGAGAGCTTAAAGAATATCACAGAAGCTGTTTAAAATATGAAAACTTCATCAAGGCGTCAGAACAAATGGAAGAAGGACCAAAGACAGAGCTTGCAGACAGCTGCACGAAGTTAGTGACTTTACTCACCTATTCTGCTGGGAGATAACAGTATCATACTAGGACATATTGCACTTTTTATGCAGTTCAGAGGTTCCCGAAGGCTGTAATCCACTTCAATCTACTTGATGTGTTCTTGCAGTTAGGAGTCATGTGGAATGTCTCAGGTCTTCAAATAAAGGCTGTGAGAGTTTTACTTCAACTCAGCCTTGGTTGAAAGACCCCAAATGTCAAGTAAAGCTTCTAGCCTGACTCTGGCTAGGAGAACAAGGGCTGCTAGCTGGTGGGGGCAGGGGTGGGGAGGGCAGAGAGGACAGATGATGTGTGCACTGGAAGTACTACCATGCTATACTGCCTGATGTGCGATGCCAGAACGCTCCCCTGGCAGTTACAGCTGGCATCACGCCCTGACACTTGGCTAGTTTTCCAAGTGGCTAAGTTAGAAGCTAACCATTTGTCCGTCTTAATGGGCGGAGCCTCTTAGCTAAGTGCATAAGAAACACTTATGACTGCAGAAATTTCATTTAACAGTAGGCAGGATCAGTTTGATGAAGTCTTACGCTAGCGCTAAGAAGAGGTAGGCTTTGGAGTGTCACAGCAGATGGCCCAGCAGTCTACGCTGTCTCAGGCTGTAATCCTTTCAGCAGAGCACCTCATCGTCATATTAATTGGCACTGGCTTTCTTCCATGAGACTTGTGGGATTTTTGCAGTTAGGGAAGTAAGACTGCATCATCTGTTCTAGTCCACTTTTGTCACAGAAAGAAGAGTATGTCCTGCAGAGCCTAACACGAAAGGAGATCTGCAGCCACCTGTATTTCCACCTGTCAGCGTAGTTACCACACCCACAGTACTTGAAGTACTTACTAGTATTAATTATTTTATAACAAAGTGTGGTTTCAGTGCATGTGGATTCATGCATCAGCTCACCTTTAAGTGCACCCCATAGCTGCACATGCTCCAGTTTAAGTACCTGTCTGCATTATCAGAGATTAGCACAGCCCAAGTCCTAGTAGGTACCTACTGCTTCACAG